CTGGATATTCTCCGTCCTCGACTTTTCTTCAATGTTACTGCAGCTTCATAATCGTCTACCGCTTGCGCTTTCTCTGTACTATTTTCGATCATTTCTTCCTCGTTGATTCCTACGTCTTCTTGCAAAGCCGATTTTCTACGAGATCGTCTGGGGTTTTGAGGCAGAACTTCCTCAATATCGTCGTTGGTGGTATCCAGTGGGTCCGCTGAAGTAAGAGCCGATTCATCTACGGCTAAAGGTTCGGAAGATGGCTCGTCTCTCTTTCTTTTGTTCCGTGATGGACGTGGCGGCTTTTGGGGGGATTTCATTGCATTCACTACAGTGAGAGCGGTTGCTTCTTCTAACGTCGTGTTTGCGCCCACTAACGAGTCTTCCTCGACTTCGGCCTCTTCCACTACAATTTCATTTGAAAGGTCTCTTTCGATGGACTCAATTGGCTCGGAAAGTAGATGGGTAGGTGATAGGGCGGTCTCTGCCATTCCTGATTCTGAAACATTTTCCTTCAACGTTTCTAATATTGACAAGTTTGATTGATCCGTCACAGGTTGCTCTAGCTCTTCATCTTCTGGTAAATCATATACATCTTTCCTCGCGGAACTCCGAGAAGACCGCATACTCCTGGTAGAAGAAGATGGTGGTTCATCAGTCTCCAACTTCCTTCTCTTTGCGGACGTATTTGCGTCATTCCCAGTGTTAGATCTTGTAACGTCATTCGATGGTAGGCCTATTATATTCGAGGATCTATCGCGGCTTCTGGTCGCAGTAGCAGGTGTTTGACTTATGGGCTGTGAAGGTAACTCGGGTTGAGGAGTTTCTGGATTCGCTGGAACTTCTGGAAGTGAATTTGGAATTGTTGTAGTTGGAGTTGGAACTGGAGATGGTTCTGCTGCCGGCGGCGGTGCAGCAAAAGCTGGTAACATAAAACCAAAGTCGACATCTTTGACTTGACGTCTACACAATCAATGGTCAATTTCGCATGACGAAGAGGGGTTAGAACTTACTGGGCACCTCCTCGTAACCGTTGTTGCATGCGCTCTTCTCTAGCTATGAATCAATTAGCATCAATTTATTCCAACAACCAAATATCGACTTACTGGAATCCATTTCTACTTGATTGGGAGAGGAAGATATCTCTCTCTCGTCATTGAAGTCGCGTTTGTCACAGAGTTACGCGATTGTCTAATGTTTCAATAGATTGAGGTTATGATATTATAGATTCATTCTACAGCCTGCTTACCCCACACCTCGTCGCGCTTGGTTGCCCCGGCAATGTATTATTATCACCCAGTATATTACTGTACACACGACTACTTCATCCAATCATCCAGATGCTCATACAATCCTCTGAGGTGGCGTAGTGAAACGCGTTGTATTGCTATTGAAATGCTTACTTTAGTGTTACCAAGTTGGCTCCCTTTCATATTATTTCAAAGTTCTTTTCATTTTGCAATTCATTGGATGGTACCATAATGAATTATATACCAATACCCTCCTTCATCAGCAAGACTCTTCAAGGAAGAAGTCAACCCAGGGATCAAGATGTATCATCAAAAAATCCCAATCCCTTGAGTTATCCTAAGAGTTCTTTACCTTATGATTCTCAATTGTTCAAGAATCCATCATCGGAGTATCGAGGCTGTCCTTTCTGGGCATGGAACACAAAGCTCGACAAGGAACAGCTCCTCCGTCAAATTGATTATTTCGCAGAGATGGGGCTGGGGGGATTTCACATGCATGTTCGCACTGGTCTTGATACAGAATATATGGGAACAGAATTCATGGATTTGATACGTGCTTGTGTTGATTATGCCGAAGCTAAACACATGTTGGCTTGTTTATATGATGATGATAGATGGCCTTCTGGAGCTGCGGGTGGAAAGGTTATCGAGAAATATCCCGAGCATAAAGGAAAACACCTCCTTTTCACACCTCATGCTTATGGAACAGTACCACTCGGCGGGTAAGTTATGAAACAATCAAATTTCCCTCATGTTCTGATTCAATTCATCAACAGAGGTGCTCCCGCGTCTGCCAGAGCTAGTAGGAGTGAGAATGGATACCTCATAGCAAGGTTTGATATCGAGTTAGATGACAACGGTACACTACAATCAAGCCGTATTTTGGAAAAGGACGAGCACGGGGAAAACGTGTGGTATGCCTATGTTGAGACGAATCCCAATTCATCTTGGTTCAATGATCAAACATACATCGATACTCTTAGTGAAGATGCAATGGCTCGCTTTATTGAGATGACGCATGAATCTTACAAAAAGAAGTGTGGCGACAAATTTGGAACTGTTATACCCTGCATATTCACCGATGAGCCTCAGTTTGCTACAAAAATACGTCTTCCTCATCCCCGAGCTAACGAAGATATATTTCTTCCATGGACCACTGATTTGCCGAAAAGCTTCGAAAAAGAGTACCATGCTGATATTGTGGAATCCTTGCCACAAGTTATATGGAATCTTCCGAATGATAAACCAAGTTTATCGAGGTATCGATATCATGATCATGTTTGTGAAAGATTTGTCTCTGCTTTTATTGATCAAATTAGTGGTTGGTGTCGAAAAAATAACTTGTACCTCGACGGACACATGATGGAAGAGCCAACACTTTATTCTCAAACTACAGCTCTTGGTGAAGCTATGCGATGTTACCGAAACATGGACATGCCTGGCATAGACTTACTTGTTGATGGTGTCGAATACAATACAGCAAAACAAGCCTCTAGTGTTTCTAGACAAATGGGTCGTCGAGGTACAATGTGTGAAATATATGGTGTTACTCATTGGTATTTCACATTCGAGGGCCACAAGGGTTGCGGTGATTGGCAAGCAGCTCTTGGTATCACTTTCCGCGTTCATCATCTTGCTTGGTTAAGCATGGCTGGAGAAGGGAAAAGAGACTATCCGGCGTCCATCAATTATCAAAGTCCCTGGTACAAAGAGTATGGTTATGTTGAAAATCATTTTGCAAGAGTTGGTGTTGCAATGACCCGAGGAAAACCTGTTACTCGAGTTGGAGTCATTCATCCGATTGAGAGCTATTGGTTATGCTTTGGTCCTGATCAAAGTGGTGATGAGGCAGGATCTCGTGATCGTGCATTCTCCGACCTCACGAACTGGTTACTTCATGGTTTAATTGACTTTGATTTCATATCTGAGAGCTTATTGCCAACTCAAACGAGTAGAACCCAGAGAGGCAGAAAGCTGACAGTAGGATTTTGTGAGTATGAAGTGATTATTGTGCCGAATTTACGTACAATCAGATCATCAACTCTTGAGGTCTTACAAGCATTCTCAAAGGCTGGCGGGCATGTAATCATTGCTGGTAGTTCGCCCGAGTAAGTGATAACTGCTTTACAATTATTGGCTCTATTGCTTCCTGACTCATAATTTTTGTGGTTGAAAAGTACTAATTGAATTCTCTAGATTAATCGATGCCGCAGTCCCATCAGAGAAGCCTACAATCAAGCATAGTATCAACGTATTCTGGAGCCAGCAGAATATTTTGTGTGTACTCAATGAATATCGTGATCTTCGAGTCACGAATGAGAATGGCTCATCCACTGAGCATTTATTGTATCAGATGAGGGAAGATGGAGCTGAAAGATATATTTTCATCTGTAACACAGATCGTAATTCTCCAATCATGACGAAGATTGAGCTGAAAGGCCATTGGGATATTTCAGAAATGGATACTTTCAATGGAGAAGAGGGACCAATGTCCAGTCAACTTGCAAAGGACTGGACGCAATTGCACCATAAATTTGAAGGATGCGCGAGTCTTCTTATGCGACTGAGACCAAGGATAAGTCAATATATCACAGAGGTCTTACCATTGAGTAAGACTTCTGAGAAGACCCCTACACTTGAAGGAGATGTTACTCTCGCAGAGGTAGAACTTTCTGAGCCAAATGTTCTCATGCTTGACTACGCGTCCTACAAACTAGATTCCTATGAACACTGGTCAGATTCCACCGAAGTTCTCAGAATTGATAATGCTATTCGGGATCAACTGCAATTACCTCACAAAGGAGCTGCATTTAGACAACCTTGGTCGGTACCGGCTTCAGAAAGAGCTCCTAAGACGCATGTAACCATGCGTTTTCTGATAATATCAGCATTTATGATCAACGTGCCAACCAAACTTGCACTGGAAGATATTCAAGGAATGAAAATAAGAATAAACAGGACCGATTTGGATTCCCAAAAATTCAATGGTTGGTGGGTTGATGAAGACATCCGAACTTTGGAAATACCAGCCTACACAATCAGGCCTGGAAAGAATACTCTTACGCTTTCTTTTCCTTTTGGAATCTTGACAAATATTGAACGCCTTTATTTGTTGGGCGACTTTTCTGTTGGTAATAAGCATAATAGTTCTCTTGGTACAGACTCATATTATCTCCAACAACCGAGAACCGTATCTTGGGGAGATATCACCAAACAAGGTCTCCCATTCTATGCTGGAAACTTAACCTATATCTGCGATATATCAATACCACCAACGAGTCCTGACACAACTGTTCATCTTTCAGTACCTGGCTATTCTTCACCAGTACTCGTCGTGGCTTTAGCTGACACAAAACAAAGGCTTGGGCGTATAGCTTTTCAACCTCGAACACTAGATATCACATCTCTTGGGTCAGGAAAACATAAGATTGCAATAACAGCTTTTGGGAATAGGTATAATTCTTTTGGGCATGTACATTTACCTGACGGACTTACGAACGGTTGTTCCCCGGATATCTGGAGAAGTAGGTTGTTCTATTTGCCCTTTTGCCTTACGCTCATCTACTAATTGAATTAGCTGGTGGAGATTGGTGGACGGATAGTTACAACGTGAAACCTATTGGTATATTGGAATGTCCGAGTTTGAAGTCGGAGATGAAGCTTATTGATGTGGCCGATGAAAGCAATGAGGAAGGGTGGGAAGTGATTGAATGAGCTCTGTCTCGCGAAAATGATGTGATGGTCTACCTAGCAATAATTTCTTTACAAATCTACTCTGTCTACACTGTTTGTTGACCCAGGAGTTCTGAAAACTGTCCTTGAACCTGCTGAATTCACTCTTTCCAATTCAATATTATGTGAAATTCCCTCTTCAACAGCTACCGCGTTTTCAGTTCCATTCCCACTTCCCCCTTCATTCTCGTGTCTCTTTTGAATCCTTCTTTTGATCCAAGGTAGAAGGTTGAAGTATCCACCACAAGCAAATACTCCGCACCAAAGAATAAACTCCGAGGCGTAAATTACTATCCCAAGTATATCAAGGTGTGGTTGAAAGACTTAGATATCAGCATTGATTTAAAGATGGTCCATGAAGAAGAATCAGACTTACAAACAGAAACTAGAGAAAATACATCTCCAGCAGCATCGATACCCACAAAGATGAATGAGATACCACGGACAGTACGATGAATATAGATATCATAGTAGTGTCTCAATACTCCAGCGGACAATAGAACAGCTGATAGTACGCCCATCAATATGACGGGCCATTCGAGATCTCTACGTTGACCGGCCTAATTATGATCTTTAGTGACTTCAACTAACTACTCGCGGTGCATGATATTTAGCATACCTTCAACCCCGCAACAAATGACACTTCAATTCCTCCAAAGACTATCCCAAGACCTCCTGTCACCAAAACACATTTCTTCAAACTCCATCCCTAGATCTCAAAATTAGCAATCCATCATACATCCCTGTCATGCACAACCCCTCCCCTCTATTCCTCCATCCTAATCAAAAGATAAGAAACATACTTCACTATAATACAAGCACTGTCCCCAAGTAACCAAACTCAGAACAGTCAATATCTGCGGCTGCACTAGCAGCGCAACATTGAATCCGGATGCGATATTAAATGCGCCTAAAGGCACGCCAGCACAAGCCCAAAGTAGCATCATAGAGCGTTGGAGCCCGATTGTGTGGTGCCGGTTGTAATTTATGATTATTTGAGGAATCAGCTAAGGGTCTATTAGCGTGAGAACGAAGGGAAATTAGAGCGAAGAAGGTGGAGGAAGTGATGGGGCAAGGAGGGGGTAAATCGCGGGGAGGGACGAACTTGGATGGACCAACATACTGCACCTAATGTTCCGAGAACATTAGCAGCGATGGGGATATCCATTGAAGATAGATTTAAAAGATTGAATAGAGAAATATGAGAAATTTCAAAGAGAAATCGATTTGTTTTGTTCGAGACTAAACTCTATGATAGCGAGATCGGACAAAGCCACCACTAAAATCTCGGATGACTCGATATATGATTAATGCCACCCGCCAAGACTTCGTGACATTGGAAAAGGTGTCTGAAGAGCTTGGAGACCTCGTCGAGTGAACATTCAGGATCAAAGACGGGTGATCTGAAGGTTTACCGGACCCGGCTGCTGATACAAGCGGGTACTCCCGATTCGGATAGTCTTATCCAGGAGATCATTATCCGTCGGCTAGTGGTAAGGGGCATTACATATGAAGATTTAGTCTTTGGCGAGGATTAACGCCAATTGCTCGATGTTATTGACTAGTTAGACCTAGGTAATTTATAGCCAGATTTATGGTGAATTTTTTCCCGAGCCGAAGAAAATGCAGGTTATCACGAATCATTCAAGTAGGTCATTTTAAAAGGGTTATCATTCCTATGTCTATTCGTTCCTTTACTTGCAAGAGCAATACCATCTTCATATTCCTCTTGTGTTCCCTTTTGAAGATAAATACTATACAAATCAAGCTACTGAGAGCTGTCACTTCCAAACCAATAAAGTGGAGATTTCGTGATTCCCCGATGTATAAAGACATTGCCACAGGTTCTTCTATCTACACTATCAAACATGCTTGGCCAACTAGCAAATTCAAAAATTAGAAGCTCCAAAAGGGAGCAGGCCCTTAAGATAACGAAGCTGGGTGATTTTGGGTAAGAGGTGAGCATCCCGAAGAGACAATGCCTTGCTATTGCATCCCCCTACCGTACTCGTATTTTTGAGGCCAAGCACCTGGCCCGTGAAGGTGGTCAGAGGAAGGCATATGCGGGTCTCGCGCAGCCATGCCATGAGTCTCATCATCGTCCACGGAAAACCGAGAAGAATTTATCGCTAATAGTTTCTCTGCCCTGCTCTTTCCTTTGCCTTCTTTCTTCGTCCTGTTTCTCGTAAATCTTTCCTAGCTGACCTGCAACTTGTTCACCAGCTTCGATTTCGGCCTGGATTGCTCGTTCCTCGACTAGTCTCTCATCATCGTTCAGTCCTTCAAGTCGTTTCTTAAATGAAGCCTGTACCTTCGGCGAAAGATCAGACGCCTTGAGCTTGTTGTTCTCTTGTGCAGAATCCGATTGCCCAGGTCTTGATTTTGATATAAGCGGAGGAAATATGGGCACGGGTCTCCCTTCTGCCTTTGCTTCTTCAATCTGTTTCTCTTGGTCAATCATTCGATGATATAATGTATCGGCATGCAGTTGGATCTGTTCATCGACTGCGGGTGGACGATCGTATGTCGATAAGTAGCCTAAAGCTTTCAAAAATTTCTATACCAATTAGAATTCGAGTTCATTATTCTTGGAACATTCAAAACTTACACCTTGCATAGTATAACATCTTTCAAGCTTCCTATTCTCCTCTCTGCACATAGTTAATCGAGCTTGCCATCCTCCTGAACGAAAACACTCATTCACATCCCATTGTTCCAAAGCGCAATTCTCCAAAGCTGCCCTTCCAATCTCTGCCTTTCTATATTTATACCCGTCGATAACATCTTGAATCTTTTCGGCATCCGATTTAGCTGCTTGCTCAACTTCTGCTTGTGGTTGGTACGTTTTCCATAAATGTGCGTAGCGTCCGTCTTGGTATAAACTCTGCGAAGGCACATTGGGTTTTGTAGGATCCTCAGTCGTACTTGTCAATGTGGGCTCCAGCGTTTTTGTTTGCGACAAGACTGTTGTGTCTGCAGACTTTGTAGAATCGTATTTGACTGGTGATTCTTTTTTAAGGAATTCTCGTAAACTGGGATCGAGATTCTTTAAAGGATCTTGGGATTTATCCTTGTCGCCATCATTTGAATCACCCCAAAACCAACCCATTTTTAATCTTGTGAATCTTTGAGAAACGCGGGGGACCAAAATTTCCAGAGCTGGAGAGCTTGTTCAATGGTGTGCTTAGTCATCACAGTGAATAATGGAGAAAATCAGCCCAAAACCTAGCGACGGCACGTTAGGAACAACGTTCGAGGTTACAAGATCCACAGCAATAAGACCTTGCAGTCCTACATCACTGGAGAAAGTCGTTCTATATATTCTAATGGGGTTCGATTCATTCATTATGCTGTGTCGGCTCTTTGAGCTTCCCAGAACATCATCATCAGCTCCTTTTCCCGCACCAATGCTATTTCCCTCCACAACCGACGTATGGTTTAAACCAAAATGTCGAGCGAAATATTCACTCCAGGAGTGGTATGTATCAAACCCCAAGGGTAGTACGCTAACAAAAATTCAAAGTGACATGTATCATACCCCAAGGGTAGTATACTAATAAATAGACAATGCATAATATTCTCCACCCATATTTTCCTCGGACACACAGGTGACCAACCGACGCTTTTTCAGACTAGGCGCAACAGTGGCACAGCTGGCTGACAATGGCCTAATTGAAGAAAGGGCTTTGTTGGAGAGCTTGTAACATGGCTTTGGAGCGTTGACATCTGTCGGTCAAGTGGTGAATGAGAGCCGGAGGCGAGGTGATTCAGTCATCCCAACATATATCAGGCGGTAGTCCATTGCCCTTATTAATCTCCCAAACCAGTGGTTCGGTTGATGATTCACAATGTGTGATTCGATTTTGGTGCTCGGAGGCAATCTTGCAGCATTCGATGATCAAGTGGTTGTTATCCTTTCATGTCGGTTCGAGTGTGCTTCTCTCAATGTGGCGAGATCTGGTCGAGCTTTAGATTATACTCCGATCTATCTTTATCGTATGAGCCTATTTGTTTTTGTTGGTCTCCTTCGTACTCGCTTCCGTCTAGAGTTTCGATTCGCTTGGTGGTAGTCGCTTTATCTCTGCACGTCTATCCTCTCATTCCAGGTGGTGATCATATCCGTCGCAATAAGTGCTTTTCTCAGTAGCTACTTGATTGTTGAAGAGAGACGCTCTTCATTCGGCACGACGTCACTAGACGGATTGATGAGTTCGTTCTGGTTAATTAGTCCAGAGTAATCTTTGGAATGGACAACAAGGGCTAGTTATCCCGACACCGGTGCCATGTGCATAGTCCCCTGTGGTCACCCGTAGGATGGTTCCTTGTACATATGAGGCAGCGAACCACAGGAGTATTATTGAGATTGCCGGGAGGATCTACAGCATCTGTCTCTTCGCTAAACCCAATGCTCAGGGTAGCGATTGAGCTTCGTGTATAACTAGTGGCTGTGATGGCTGGCTGGGCTCATTATTTTTGTCTTGGGGCTGAGGCTGTGGCTCTGGCGTATGATCTTATTCTTCAGGTTGTGGTGGAAGTACTGGTGGTTGAATTTGAGACTCGTGGTCAGACTGGAGTTCTTGCACCCACGGCCTAAGCCAATTCAAACAGCAGTCGCTGGGTCGTTGAATGAACAGAGGCGTATTATGAATTGGACCCAATGAGACTAAAATGTATCTGTTAATACCACCCAGCATACATAATTAATGTCGATCTCACTTAAAGTAGTAGTACCAAATTCCAGACACCAACCTATAATCCCGAATCTGCTTACTAGGATGCGGAAACTGGTAAAGTTCCTTAAGTCGATCAATGAGAGGATTCCATTCATCTCGAGTGTCCAATGGGCCATCTGGTGGATTTGGACGTATGAAAAATTTTGATTGCCAAAAGCCATTGGCTGTGACTACGATGGATAGGCATCGTTGATTGCCTTCTCAAATAAACAGATGGGAAGAAGTAAATGATTATAATTAAGAGAATAATTTGATGATATCTTTGGAAGAAGTTTGGATGATTGTTCGTTGTCAATTTGAATTTTTTGACGGTTTGTGGTATTGTTGTTGATGGGAGAAGAAACGAAGATCGAAGCAGAGCGACAACAACAATCAATCAATCACTTCACTTTCGTTTACCATTTTTCTTACCCATAAATCTCTTCCAAAATTCGGTTACCTGGGTAGTTACCAGTTGTCTCACTTCTCTTTTTATAATTTTAATGGTACCTCTTTGACTCACAATACTTTTATCAGATGAAATTAAATTGATATTTGGATTTGGAAAGGTACATAACAATGAGGCAGTCCTCACTCATCTTCATCTAAAATTCCATACAATAAATATACATCGTCCTTGGACCTGAAGGGCAAGCTATAACTAGAAAGTTTTGAAGCCTCTCTGTTTAGCTTAACATTCAATATTGAAAGCCTCCTTGGTATGATACTTGGATTTCAATTCTCATCCTATCACTTTCTAGAACTCTCCACCAAGTACTTACCATCACATCCATCCTCTGCAATTATCTCTCTTTCCCATACGATAATCCTGTGCAATTGTAAAAGTCTTGGATGGGTTATAGGTAAATCGGACAATCTTCCTATGTTTGGTGGTGATAGTGATCATCTCTTGCCAAGGTAGCTACGCAATCTGAACAGTAAGAGTAAGCTTCAGCCATTTCCCCTCACACATCCCCTACACACAGAACTCACAATCTCCTATCGAGTTCGATTGAGTTGATCGAGGATTGCCAGCGCATTACCGAGAAGTCCTCCTTGCTCAATTATCGACAGCGCCAGTTGCATGTTCGGATCGGGACTTTTAAGAGCCCATGCAGAAAGTTCTCCGTCTCTGACAGAATGCATTCGGATTCGAGGCGAACCTCAAGCTCTAGTTCGTGAAGTTCCGAGCGACTATAGCTTGTTCGTTGTGTGTTCATGGTATATTGCTCCTCTTGTTCAAGAGTGGCAGTAGAATGAGCGGTGGCACCAGGAATGTCACCATCAATAGCAGCGGTACCAAGAGCATCGGTAGCGATGTCGATAGCCATGTTGATATTTCTCTTTTGTTCAGCTTATGAATCATTACATTCGGTTTGAACTGCATATTCTAGGTCAATATTGTTGATGAGAAGTCCACATATCGCTTGACAAAAGTCTCTTTGCCCATAAAAATTCTTGAAGCTGGGACAGAACCAAGATCTTCTCGCTAGACTTCGTTAGCATATTGTCGATGCTTTTTACTTGGATGGAACCTGCGCCTTGGTCGTAAGGGTTGAAGTGATGAAGGCGAACTTTCCGCATGGAAAAAGTGAGCTAAATTTGGAGGTATGATGCCAGATGACACAGGTTCCTGTCCAGATCTAATATCTAGGGGTCGGCATAGAGCTGTCTCGATGTTTTACAGCCTGCGGGAAGATCACCGTGCCGAGGTTTTTGCAGATAGTCTTTTGTATAGCCTGAGAGGAATAGTCTTTCTATATTAAGCCAAATCGGGTAATACATGTATGATAATATGACTTAAATGTTGAATGAGAATCAAACGATGAGCTCTTTGACCAAAGGAGGGGGGTACACTTCATCCTAGCGTATATCTCCTTATCAAATTAAAGATCAACATCTAGAATCAAATGATAGTCTGAAATAAAAAAATTGAACATGGATATTTAAAATACCAGATTAAGAACAGACAATGAAATGGTCTCAAAAGCGGGATGCTTGGTGGTTCTGGATGTTGAAAAAAACTGGGAATAAATACACAAAGTATCAGATTTAATTGGACAATGAGATGACCTAAAAGCAAGACCCTTTTTGGTTCTATATTCAAGCTAATAATATCGAGTTCGAATTTGAAAGTATCACATCTGGTTAATGTCAAGCAGAGCATCTCACATTCAAAGATACTCAATATTGAAGCCAAGTAATCATCTATATTTCTATTTCTAAAGTAAACCGCTAAATAAACTCCATAACAAACCCCTAAACGCCAAATCCATTTTTTTCTTAGTGTTTTCTTCTTCTGGGCCACGGTACGGCTCAATCAATATATTTATATATCATCTATACTTTGGCGCTCCTTCTATCATCCTAGGCCCTGGATTTCTACTTACTTGACTTGCATTAGTGGGGGTATCGTCGCTGGAATCGGAGTATTCGGGTTCGGGTTGACGAGAGCTCCTATGTGAACCCCTGTGATGAGATGTCTGTTCAGTCTCGGTCTCGGATCCGAAATCAGATTCGTCATATTGGCTCTGGCGATCATCACGCGAAGTTCCCGACTTTGAATTTCCTGATTTTGAATGTCTCGATTTTGAAGGTCTCGATTTTGAACTTCTTGTCGTGGAACTTGCTTCACTTGTAGAAGTTTGGGATCTCCTACTTGTCTTGGGTTTCTCAGAAATTCCACTTTCCTTGGGTCTTGAGGAAGACTCGGGCTTTTTACTACTATGTTTCTTGCGTCTCTCAGAATCCTCACCTGGTTGACTATCCCGGGCGCTGTTTGGGATGCGCCTGCTTTGTGGGGTCTGGTACATAGCCTCGACAATTTCACGAGTTTTACCCTTACTCGCGGGATTTGATACCTTGCTGGATGTAACACTTGGTACCTCTGAAGCAGCATAGTCTGAGTATCCTTCATTCGGGTCGAGTTGAAAGCGGTCTTGCTTTCGTAGTTCCACATCAAATTCTTTCTTTCTTCTCTCTCTATCACATAAATATTAGTTTTAATGAAGTTCAACGCAACCTATATCGATTGTCAAATGGCACGGAAGGCTATGACTTACTCCTCAGTAGTTGATGTTTTTTCTGTGCTGCTTCTGTGCTTGCTTCGCTTTTAGTTTCATCTCTGAGAATATCAGATTGCCGCACTGTTCGATCTGTCCCTCCTGATGACGATGGAGCTTTCTCAGATCCCCGCACTGTTAGATCTGACTGTGCTGATGATGTATGTCTCTTAGATTCATGATCTTTTTTTCCACCATTTGATCCGCTAGCTCGGACAACTTGATTATCTCTTGATCTACTGTCTGAAACTTCGGTTGGGGCACGACTGCTATGCTTTGGCTGAGGATCATCTTTTCTTGATCTACTATCTGAAACTTCGGTTGGAGCACGACTGCTGTGCTTTGGCTGAGGATCATCTTTTCTTGATCTACTATCTGAAACTTCGGTTGGGGCACGACTGCTGTGCTTTGGCTGAGGATCATCTTTTCTTGATCTACTATCTGAAACTTCGGTTGGGGCACGACTGCTGTGCTTTGGCTGAGGATCATCTTTTCTTGATCTACTGTCTGAAACTTCGGTTGGGGCACGACTGCCGTGCTTTGACCGACGCTCATCTTTGCTCGGTTTATCTTCTGAAAATTCGTTTCGAGCATCTATTCCATTATCATAACCCGTGCTGGATTCATCATCCGAGTACTCAGCTTCCTTGTCTATATTACCATAGCGTATTTCTCTTCGCTTCTTATCCACGTATCTAAACCCTACTTCCCCTGTTGATTTTCGGGTAAGCCCGAAACTCTTCTCCTTTCGTTCCTTCTCCGCTTTTAATTTCTCTCTTCTCTCTTTTTTTCCCGTTCCAGTGCCTTCTCCTTGTCTTGTATTTCCATCAGCTTTCGATCACCTCCAGTTTTCCTAACATCATTAGCTAACTTGAGAGCTCCCAACATGATGGCTTGCTGCTGTGAAGAGGAATCGGTTGTGTGAAAGATATTGTGTTTTTGTAGTGATATAAAATAGATTCAATGAACGATCTTGATAATATTGCTACTCGCTTGGACGCTTTAGAATGTGTTATGAAGATGATGAGTGTGCTGATGATTGTATGGAGTGTGTTGTATATGGAATAATATTTACCATTCAGGATACTGTAGTACATTTATACTGATACTCATAATACCCATCCGGTCATCCCAATCATCAATTCCAACTGAACTTTCACGTTGAGATCAATGTTGATGTCAAATAACTCGTGATGACCTGGTCTCTATTGCAATCTATTTTAACAAACATACCGTCAAGCAGAGATTTGGAGACCGGAGATGATTCACCATGTTGTTGAAGCAGGATTGAGGTTATCCAATTAGGTCATGTTCAAAAACATCAATCATGTAAAGGAATATGTTATGACCTGCCCTAGAGTTCGTCTTTGACGAATTGACGCATAGCGAAGCAAGTCATATTGGAGATTATTCATTTACTAGACTCAAATATGGTTGAGCGATCAACATGTGTCCTTGAAGGGTGACCGTTACGTTGGCCTCTAGTGTCCTTTCAGGGTCATACTACAGATTACAATTACTCGCTTCTAGAACCGATAGAGTTTCATGATTCTATTCATAGATTTTGATTTTTGGGGCTCCGGGTCGCTAGACCCCTTTTGAGTGCCAATGGCGCAAAAAATTTCACAGTTTGAGTTGGGTCATGGCCGCGACGACCGCCAACTCCAAGCGCATCGAAACATAACAATTCATTAGCAATTGTTTTGAAGTATTAAATAGAGCAGAATTTACGAGCTGGAATGCCAACGTGAACCCCCTTCACTCATTTAATTATATTCAATCAAGGTTTTATTGCTACTCGTGCCGTAAACGAACACTCCCGTCTCCACAGCTGGACGCGAAATCATACACGACACACTTCATTATTTCAAAAAAGGGGACAATGACACTTGCTCCAGAGAACTACCAAACCAAACCAAACAAATTCAGCAAACCATTAAATTATCTAAATGTAAAAAGAAGAAGAAGTAACCACGACACTCACACATTAGACAGATACAACCCGTTCTCAAACTTCCTTTTCATTTCAAAAATTTCTTGTCGAACTTTACAAGAGCTCTCAAAACATCGTATGTATCAGACTACCACACATCTTCCATTAGAAAGTCCGTAAATCAACTTACTCACCAATATTCGCAAAGAATTATACTTCAAACAAACCCCATAGCTTCTAATACGATAACGACCTAAAACTATTCCCATCTTCTCATCCCATCATATCCCCCTTCTCAAATCAAACCCACACCTCATCTCATGTATTCCAAATCCCCAAATTTCACCCAATACCTAATACCTAATACCTAATACCTAATAACTAATACCTAATACCTAACACCTAATACTTAATACCTAATACCTATATATCATGAAGCAGAACCCCAGAAAGAAAACAAGACGCTGATTCAACCATCCAAACCAACACGTACAAGCAAATTTTTCAAATCAAAAAAACCCACCCATTTCAGAATCTCAAATCACATCCAGTGAAACTGAAATGCTCTCATGTAGCCCAGACACACAGATCTTCCAAAGAATTGAACAATTGGCATTCTAGAGACTGTGAAATCCCAGGAACATCTCGTCTCTGTATACCCTCCATTGAAGCACCATTTGATTATCTATCTATATCATGCGTAACGGAAATCCTCGGTTTCTGCGTATGAAATGTGAACCATTTTATTCATAAACCATAGACCCATACTGAAACGCTACTTATAACATCATGAACCTCAATATGTCACCAAAAGATGTGTTGCACCTACACCAACCACTGTAGTACAGATATCCTCTCCCAAGTACAATATACAGCCAGGAGGAATAGCAGTTTCGGCCAATCAAGCTGTGGCAATGTATAATTCATTAACTGAGGCCTTCAACCCACAAAAGAATATTATGTAATCTCATACTATCCCGAGTTTTGTCTATAACAATCAGTAAATTGAAATCCCTTCTACCAAGCTATGAATAAAAATCGACTCGAGCTGTATTTAATTCGCTATGCATTTGCCCAACTACTTATCTCCCCATACATCACCCGTCACCCGTACCCCTACCCATACTATCAACATGACCATTCCCACACCTACTCCTCCAACAACTTCTTCACTCTCCTAAAAACAACCTTAACACTCTCATTTCTTTCACCCTCGAGTGCCTCACTCATCACCTTCAACATATTACCCTTCACCTCCTCTCTTCCCTCACTCCACGTACCAAAGACTCCCGCCTTCCACGCCTCTACGACCATTTCCGCCGCTTCTCCCCTCTTAATTCTGATTCCCTCGCTTCCGGCTCCACTAGCCAATTCCAGTACCTCAAAAAATTGCACACACATTTTATAGTTATTTTCCTTTTGTGCATGAGTCCTCTTTCTCAATCCATCAAACAACACTCTGATACGTTCGTAAAGCGTTGCACGCGTAGTTATCGTCATGAGAGGTGATTTGAGAAGGGGAGTAAGGGTTTCGACGAGCTTTGGAAGACGAGTAAGAGGTGATGGATCGAGATGTTTAACATTGATACCTCGAAACAAAGCTTCGATACCTGCAGTTATTGTTTCCGATTCTGTGGATTCTCCTCCCTTGCTCACTCCATCCTTCTTCCTGGAATCAGAAGTCGAAGTAGTTGTACTTGTATCCATATGATCTTCACTGCTCAAATCTTCCAAAATAGGTGCGATGATATTATATATCTCATCCCACATATCTACTTCTGTTCTCGTTTCTGCATATTTGCCTAGTTCTGTAAAGGCGAATGGTCGATAGATGTCGTTATTACGTTTAGCTTCTCTGATTGCAATCTTCTTTGTCTGAGCTGCGATACTAGATTCGGCATCTAAGAATGCGGTAGATGCCTTTGCGAATTTTACAAAGCTAGCCAATACAATTTCCTTTCCTGCAAAAGTCTTGAGTGCAAGAGCTTTTTCGAGAGCAGGCCAAATGAGTGCAGATGTTTCGACAGGAATCGTCGGCGATGTGGTTGAAGTCGTGGATTTGACAACGTCGGCAATGGTTAGAGCGGCCGTGTGTTTGATAGTCCATTTGGGAGAATCAATATATTTGAGCACTAACTCATTGATTTCTCTTGTATATAATAAGACCGCTCTGCTTCCACCTACATTTTCATCCCAAGTTTTCTCAAATTGCTTTTTAGTCGCATCGTCAAAATCATGTTTGGCGAAGAAAACAAAGGGGACTGTAATTTTTGGAGTCAGCAATTACTTTTTTTTTTTAGATTGAACATTCTTTGCGAGCTAGGAAGTGCATAAATTCAGATATTAAAATAATTGTCAAAACTTACGGAAATCGGAAGCCAAAGAGTTAAAATGATCAGTGGCGAATTTGGAAATGGCATAAATCAAATCCGATGATACTTGACGACGAGTTTCATCTTCAGCATTGAAGTAGAGATCTTGGGAATAAGTGAGAAGTCTAAGAAGTGCTTTATCAGAGGCCAATCGAGAAACATAGCCAGCTGCACGGGCATAAGATGCGCTGACAGCATTATTGCGATCAAGGACAGATTTCTCAAGGGTTTTGAGAAAGTGGTCGGCGTGAGGGCGAAAGGTAACGCTGTGACGAGTTGCGAGACTGACAAGAACGCCACCGCAACCAACCTTAGATGGCATACCGACAGTGGTCTTGATAACGTTTTCGAGGTGGGGAACAAATTCTTTCATGGTAGGTTCGTCGATTATATCAAGGCAACGTTCGATAGCTTCCATGAGGGGAGATTGAGTAACAGCATTTGTGCGAGCACTATCAATTTTCTCTTCGGTGAGATTGTAATGAGCGGCACGTAGGTATAGATAGTCAACACCCTCCATTTCCATAGTACTCAAGAGACCCAAGAGTCGCTCAACGAGATTGGGTACAAATGGCAAAAGTGCTTTACCACCACTCTTGATAAGTTTGAGTACGGTAATGGTTGCGAATGTTCGAACTTCTTCGGCTGAACTTTCTAGACCTTGATCTGAAAGTAAAAATGGTAACACATCTTTCAGCATTGCTTGTGCGTGCTTTGAAGATGTACCTGCTTCTACTTGTCGGACAAGTATACCAGTAAGAGCCATACTAGAAAATCAGAAATCAGTAAACGCCCACTAAAGAAGCAATTTAGAGAGATAATTATTCAGAGAAGCGCTTCAACTCTAGAGCTGTGAGAGAGGATAAAAAATACAAAAGTAAGACATCCAAAAAGATCATCAGGTATCTCAGAATACAAAAAACAAATACAACACATACCTAAGAGACAAAGCTGCCTTTCTCACAGACCCCTTAATATCATCCAGAACTTTGAAAGCCACGTGCCAAATATCATGAAGGTATTTTTCATACTTTTCGAAATCTCTACCTTGTACTAAATCAGCAATGGCAGCACAACTTGCTTCTCTTGTTCGCCATTCTTTTCCTAAGATACTTTTTAATAAATCTGTGATAATCTCATCGAAATATTGATTAACAGTAGCATTTGAGTCTTTGACGAGTGCACTCCAAATATCATTCATGGACCGCTGTACATTAGGATTTGGGTCAAATCGATATCGGTACAACTTTGGGTACAACTTGGGATCAATCTCAGATTCGGAGAGAATGTTACTTAAACCAAATCTACAAATTAAAGGTTAGCAAACTATCTAGGATTCAACATGAAAAAATCAATTACTTACCGACCAAATGCTGCTCTAGTAGACCAAGTAGCCGCATTTGTAGCAAGAGACATAAATTTGTACACCAAACTTTGATCGCCAACCTCATTGGCAAGACTAACGATATCCTTGTATGATGTGATAGATTTACCTTCACCAGTAGGGAGTGCACCAGGCTCAAATAATTCAGTTTCTTCATGAACCTTGATTTGAGTGCTGGTGCCAGTAAAGCTTGCCACAA